CTTTGATGTCACCCCTATCCGGAAAACACTGCGGAAAGTTAATATTCGGAAAGCAACGGGCCCAGATAATATCCCTGGACATGTCCTTAGGGAATGCACAGATGAGTTGGCTTGTGTTCTCACAGATATTTTCAATCTCTCATTGCAGCAGGCAGTGATCCCATCATGTTTTAAGACAGCCATCATTTTGCCAATGCCAAAAAAGTCCATAATTACAGGCTTTATAATGATTACTGTGGTTGCACTGACATCCACCATTATGAAATGCTTGGAGAAGCTGATAAAGGATATTATTGTATCTAGCCTCCCACCAGCATTTGACCCGCTTCAGTTTGCTTACCGACCAAACCGTTCTACGGAGGATGCTATTTCTTCTGTTCTCCATCTGAGCTCGAAGCAATTAGAGGAAAGAAATACTCATGTGTGTTTGTTGTTTGTCGACTTCAGTTTGGCGTTTAACACAATCATTGTCTGGGACACTACACATCCTCTTCATGACCTGTTTTCGTTGTTACCTTCTGGGAGGAGGCTCCATGGTATCTGAAGCAGAACATCCAGATTCAGTCACAGCTTTGTTCCATACAGTATTAACCTTGTGAACTGTAAAGCCTCCTCCTTCTGTTATGTATTCAAGATGGACAGTGAATAATATTTATATGTTACTGATATGTAATCCCCTTTATGGATTACTGCCTTGTCGTGGCGAAGGTGCTTGTGTAACTCAATGAAGCTATAAGCTATGCCGTGCAGGGCCACCCAAGACGGATAGGTCATAGCAGAGAGTTCTGACAAAATGTGATCCACTGGAGAAGGAAATGGCAAACCACCCCAGTATCTTTGCCATGAAAACCCCATGGACAGTACTAAAAGGCAAAAAGATATGACGCTGGAAGATGAGCCCCTCAGGTCGGAAGGTGTCCAATATGCTACTGAGGAAGAGCAGAGGGCTAGTACTAGTAGCGCCAGAAAGAATGAAGCAACTGGGCCAAAGCCGAAAGGACGCTCAGCTGTGGATATATCAGGTGGTGAAAGGAAAGTCCGATGCTGTAAAGATTTTTTCTCCATAGGAACCTGGAATGTAAGATCCATGAATCAAGGCAAGCTAGACATAGTCAAAAAAGAGATGACAAGACTGAACATCGATATCTTAGGAATCAGCGAACTAAAATGGACAGGAATGGGTGACTTTAACTCAGATGACCATCAGGTATACTACTGTGGGCAAGAATCCCTCAGAAGAAATGGAGTAGCCTTCATAGTCAATAAAAGAATAGGAAAAGCAATACTGGGATACCATCCCCAAAATGACAGAATGATCTCAATTCGAATCCAAGGCAAACCATTCAATATCACAGTAGTCCAAATCTATGCCCCAACCACTGCTGCTGAAGAGGATGAAATTGACCGGTTCTATGAAGCCCTACAGCACCTTATAGAATTAACACCAAAAAATGATGTCTTTATCATCATGGGGGATTGGAATGCTAAGGTAGGAAGCCAAAAGATAACCGGAATAACAGGCAAGTTTGGCCTTGGGGTACAAAATGAAGCAGGGCACAGGCTAATAGAATTTTGTCAAGAGAATACGATGGTCATAACAAACACTCTTTTCCAACAACCCAAGAGACGGCTCTACACATGGACATCACCAGACGGTCAACATAGAAATCAGATTGACTATGTGCTCTGCAGCCAAAGATGGAGAAGCTCTATACAGTCAATAAAAACAAGACCAGGAGCTGACTGTGGCTCAGATCATGAGCTTCTCGTTGCAAAATTTAGGCTTAAATTGAAAAAAGTAGGGAAAAGCACTAGGCCACTCAGGAATGAACTAACACATATTCCTGATGAATATACAGTAGAGGTGACAAATAGATTTAAGGAATTAGATCTGATAGACAGAGTGCCTGAAGAACTATGGATGGAAGTTTGCAACATTGTACAAGAGATAGCAACTAAAACCATCCCAAAGAAAAAGAAATGCAAGAAAGCAAAATGGCTGTCTGAGGAAGCTTTGCAAATAGCTGAGGAAAGAAGGGAAGCGAAAGGCAAAGGAGAAAGAAAAAGATACACCCAATTGAATGCAGAATTCCAGAGAGTAGCTAGAAGAGATAAGAATGCCTTCTTAAATGAATAGTGCAAAGAAATAGAAGAAAACAACAGAATGGGGAGGACCAGAGATCTCTTCAAGAAAATTGGAAATATGAAGGGAATGTTTCATGCAAAGATGGGCATGATAAAGGACCAAAATGGCAGGGACCTAATAGAGATAGAAGAGATTAAGAAGAGATGGCAAAACTACACAGAAGAACTATACAAGAATGAGCTTAACATCCCAGATAACCACAATAAGATGGTCATTGACCTCGAACCAGACATCTTAGAATATGAAGTGAAATGGGCCTTGGAAAATCTGAGCAACAACAAAGCTAGTGGAGGTGACAGTATTCCAGCTGAGCTATTCAAAATCTTAAAAGACGATGCAGTAAAAGTGCTACACTCAATTTGCCAGCAAATTTGGAAAACTCAACAGTGGCCACAGGATTGGAAAAGGTCAGTTTACATTCCAATTCCAAAGAAAGGCCATGCCAAAGAATGTTCAAACTATTGCACCATTGCACTCATTTCACATGCTAGTAAAGTTATGCTTAAAATCCTACAAGCTAGACTCTAGCAGTATGTGGATCGAGAACTACCAGAAGTACAGGCAGGATTTCGAAGAGGCAGAGGAACTAGAGATCAAATTGCAAACATACGCTGGATTATAGAGAAAGCTAGGGAGTTCCAGAAAAACATCTACTTCTGTTTCATTGACTATGCAAAAGCCTTTGATTGTGTAGATCACAACGAATTGTGGCAAGTTCTTAAAGAGATGGGAGTACCAGACCATCTCATTTGTCTCTTGAAAAACCTACATGCGGGTCAAGAAGCAACAGTGAGAACTGGACACGGAACCACTGATTGGTTCAAAATTGGAAAAGGACTCCGGCAAGGCTGTATACTGTCGCCCTGCCTATTTAACATATATGCAGAGCACATCATGAGAAAGGCAGGGCTAGATGAATCAAAAGTTGGAATTAAGATTGCCGGGAGAAATATCAACAACTTAAGATATGCAGATGATACCACTCTAATGGCAGAAAGTGAAGAGGAACTAAAGAGCCTCTTGATGCGGGTGAAGAAGGAGAGTGCAAAAGTTGCTTGAAACTCAACATTAAGAAAACCAAAATCATGGCATCCGGCCCTCTCAATTCCTGGCAAATAGATGGGGAAGAAATGGAGGTAGTGACAGATTTTATTTTTCTGGGCTCCAAGATCACCTCAGATGGGGACTGCAGCCAAGAAATTAAAAGACGCTTGCTCCTTGGGAGGAAAGCTATGGCAAATCTAGACAGCATTCTAAAAAGCAGAGACATCACCCTGCCACAAAAGTGCGTATAGTCCAGGCCATGGTTTTCCCAGTTGCAATGTATGGCTGTGAAAGTTGGACCATAAGAAAGGCTGAGCGCCAAAGAATTGAGGCCTTTGAACTATGGTGCTGGAGAAGACTCCTGCGAGTCCCTTGGACTGCAAGGCGTTCAAACCGGTCAGTCCTAGAAGAGATCAACCCCACTGCTCTTTAGAAGGCCAGATCCTGAAGTTGAAACTCAAGTACTTTGGCCACCTAATGAGAAGGAAGGATTCACTGGAGAAGAGCCTAATGTTGGGAAAGATTGAGGGCAATAGAAGAAGGGGACGACAGAGAATGATATGGCTGGATGGAGTCACTGAAGCAGTAGGTGTGAACTTAAATGGACTCCAGAAGATGGTAGAGGACAGGAAGACCTGGAGGAACGTTGTCCATGGGGTCGTGATGGGTCGGACACGACTTCGCAATTAACAACAACAACACTGATATGTAAGGGTGTAGGTCTATACATATATTGTCTATAGTATGTTTTAAATACGTTATGTATGTGTACACTTTGAGAGGAAGCAACTAAATTTCATTTTTAATGTGTGCCATTGTGCCTACAGGAAAAAATGACAAAACTTATCTATCTATCTATCTATCTATCTATCTATCTATCTATCTATCTATCTAAGTTATCTCAGTCTCAACAAACATAGGGCTTTTGAAAACATTACAGGTAATCGGTCTCAAGTAATCCACCCCTGCCTATCTTTCCTCAATTTTTTTCTCCTTCTAATCCCCATTTAAATCCTACATCACTTTAGCCACTCCATTGCATCAGATGAAATGAGGACCTGCTGGGGAATTAATTTGTCTCTTAATAAAAAGTATTACATAATTTGACAAAGTGCTACCGGACTCTTCATTTTTGACCGGAAAGGCTTCTCTGGAAGGTCTCTTAATTCATGGTTGGTGAGATGTCTTCTTCCATCACCTGCAGCCTTTGACTTCGGTAGGTTTTATAAAAGACAATGATTTGTCCTGTTTTACTTTCTCTGTACTGGGAGAGGGGAAAAACGGACACGTTACAAGTATTTTGCAAGCTAAACGAGCGCTGCTCCGATTTTGAAAAACACCACCTGAACGTATTGCAGCTATTTCTAAACTATTTTGAAAACGCTGGCACCAAGTTTTAGGTCAGGAGACAGTGCGCAACCCACCTGCAAGCCAATCAAAAGCCTTCTGTGGCTACTGAGCCTTTCCTCAATTTCCACATATTTAATTGCGGGGCGCTGGGGGGGGGGGGAGAAACGAAGCAGATTGTAGACTAAGCTCATAGTAGTACAGAGAGTCCGACGCCAAAAAGCTACAAGAGGGCCTGCCGGCTGACGTCATTGCTTTTCGTGTCCAAAAGACGAGCAACTCCCCCTTGGAGCTTCCTAGAAGCAGCTCCTCGATTGCAACTTCACCAGAGTCCGGTTTGCAACTTCGCCCCGACGGTTTGGCCAGCCGCCAAGTGGGCTGGAGCTGGGCGGTGTTCAAGCCCGCTGACTGGCGGGAGCCGAACAAGCAAGTTTCTTGGTTGTTTGGCAAAGGCAGCGGAAGACTGACACGTTTCTCCCCTCGCTTCCCCCCCCCCCCAACTTGGGCGGGTAAAAGCAAAGAGTGCGGCGTCCCGAGGGAAAAACAAACAGAGGACCGGGTGAGGAGAGTTGGAGGAGCTCCGGGAACAGGGACAAGACGCCTCTGTGCTCTCCGAGGACTAAGCAGTCAGAAGGGGAAACCCCGGAACGAGTGAGTTGTTCTGTGGCGGAGTTGGGGTCGCGTGGCGGTAATGGATAAGCCCTTTCAAAGAGTTGGCGGAATTCAAAGGGATAAAAGGACGCCGCGCACTCGTGTCCTCCCATCCTTTTGAATGTTTCCGCCTGCTCCGTAGTTATACGCGGAGTTTTAGGAGCGGGTAAACGTTGAATGGGATTTACTAAAGAACTGAGGGGGCGTCAGCTCAGACTCCCGCTAACATTTCAGATTGAAAGAAGACGCCGCGCGCTTTCTTGGAATGTTTGTACTCTAACTACAGAGAGCAGATCTCCGTATATTAGCCCCCACCCCGCCCGAAGGTTCCCAGAGAAAAGCTCGAAAAGCTACAAAGATAATATCTGAATGTTAAAAAAAGTATATATGTACATGTTTATTCATATTTTGTGTAAAATACAGTTCCAATTTAAAATAAAGGGGTTTTCTCCCTTTGCAGGAAAAGAGAGAAGGATGTTCTTTTGAAAAGTTCAATACTTTTAAACTGAGCTGGCAATATTTAAAAAACAGTAAAAATACCTTGAGTTTGGGCATAACAGTGTTCTGTTAACAACAACTATGAGTGAGAAGATGTATTGCCTTTTATGACTGAATATTCTTTATTGATATTTTCTTGTAGAATTCATCTAATTAAGAAAAAACCCTACATAGATAGGAGGTAGTTTAAAAAAAAAGACAAGGGTGAGGGAGGAAGGGGTAAGCTGGATTAATACTGTCATTTGGAAGGAAGAGGGTATTTTTACAATTATTTTATTGTTGACTGGTAATGTTTTACATTGATTTAACTCATGTAACCTGGCAGGAGTTGCTCATTGATTAAAGTGGAACACTTAAAAAAAAAAACTCAAATATTATGGCATAAAAATTGTTATAATCCCCAGTCCCATCCTGAGGCTTCACACCTCAAGTTTCCTTGTATAAGCAGTTGTTTGCCTGTTGGTGACATTTGCCTATAATGCTTTAGTGAAGATGCTGGCCTGGAAATCAGGAGACTGTGAGTTGTAGGCCTCTCTTAAGCATGAAAGACTTGGGCCAGTCGCTTTCTCTCAGCCCAGATCACCTCACTGGATGGGTTGTTGTGGATGAAAATAAGAGGCAGAAGCATTAGATATGTTTGCTGCCTTGAGCTGGCACAAAAAATGGCAGAATAAAAAATCATTAATAACAAGAACAACTTATAGGCCTCACATTTCTTTATGGAGGATAAGCAAAACCAGGTTTCTTTTAATTCCATGATATAACTTTCACATTATAAAATAGCAGTGGAACAAATGGTACAAGTCTTTCTTTTAACCTCCAAGTAGGTCATTAATTTTGTATTGCTTTTCTTGGTTCTCAGTGTGCAATTTAATATCTCTTTCATTGATCTTCAGCTACATTTGAAAGAGGCTCGTGGAAAGCATAAAATACAATCTGTTTCTATGTGCATAATTCCAGTAGCCATTTGTAGAAGAATACCAAGTTAATGATTTCACTGGATTTAGTGTTCCTTTGAATCAAAGTTGAGCTGATTACAATTCACATGAGTAATTTAAACTACCTGCTTTTAATAGACTTGTCACAATGAATACAACCACTGAGAGAAAACAACAATAGCAAATCAACAAAGCAAGAGAAAAACAATTTGAATTACTGTGTTTTTAAAAATAATGTTTTTAAAAACATTACTAGGTTGTAAAAGAAAAGCCAGTGTTATAGTGCTGGAGAAGAACCAAATTTAATCCTCCCTTAGTTACAGAAGTCAACCATGTGACCTTAAACCAATCACTTCCTGTGGGGCAAAAAACTGTCAGACTTTGCAACAAGCTAGCCGGAAAAACAAACTGTCATTGCATCTTGTATCAATAAACTTTCCAATAACAACTAGGCAAGCACAGTGAAAAACAGGCAGACCTTGTATCCAAGCAGGACAATTGTTAAGAAAAAACAATCTTATGCAGATGTTATATGTGTCATATATAAATAGCTGCAGGCTCTAGTTTATTTAATCAGTAGATTAATCTGAAATCTCAGGTGTTGAGAAATGATTTCATACTCCCAAGCAAACAGTGTTTATGTGCTGGCTCTTTTCTCTGATTTTTTTAAACTAGTATAGACTTCTTTCAAGCAATAAGCATTTCAGTGCTATCCCAGAAGGATAGCCAAATGTCCTGCTCAGGATTTAGCAAAATGTTGCTCCTTTTCAATTACTGAGCACCATTGTGAATGAACTACTGGTGTTGATTTAAAGTAGGTTTATCTGCTGATGGGATTTGAATTTGTTTATTCTTAACGATTTCCTGCAGAGAAATTGTATCTGCTGCATTAGAAAAAAAAAGTCCTGTGCCTCCTAAAAAGCTAATAAATGTATTATAGTAAAGGCTTTTCTAAGCAATCCTATTACAAATAAACTTTTTCTTTTTTAAAATAAAGTCCTTTAGGTCTGTTACATATTTTTGAGTTCCTAGTTAACAAAAGGGAAAATATTAAATACAGCTTTGTCTGAATGAAAGGAATTGAATAAATTTTAGCCATTTTTAAAAATACTAATAGTTGAGGGTTGATTGAAGTGCAGATTCCTTTGAATAAATCATTTTACTTGGTTAAAAAGAACTTCCTTATTCTATTGCAAATATTTGAATTACTCAAGAATAAAAATTCTTAAGAACTATAATCAGTGTTCTAAATCATGTCAGTCACTTTTGTTGACTCCAGAAATCTCTTAGTCTTGTGAGTGCGCCCATTAATGTTCTATATATTTTGGATAATTCTTATGGCAATTAGACAAATAAGCTAGTCATATCAAATGCTAAGGATGAGAAATGTAGCTAAATGAAATATATTAGCATTTATTTTAAATGGGCAATTCTGCTAGAAATTGAGCTGGCCATAGCCTTTTAAGTGGTTTTATTTTATATGCAATAAGCTACTTGCATGTTGGAAAGACATTTTTTTATAGTACACAATGAAATATTTCATACTAGGACATATAAAGGTGAAATGTAGTCAGGCCAGCTTCTCGTGCCAGGCAGCTTCCCAATAAACCATTTTTTCCTTGATGTTGGAAGCCTATTACTGTACACAGACACTCCTTAGGTTTCACATGACAAACATGTAGTTGTTTCACTGTAAGTACTTTCAAGGCTCTTGAACTAGGCTAAATACCATGTAGATTTGCAACTGGGTACCCATTTTGTGTTCTTAAATTTAGAAGAGCAAAGAGCTAGTAAGAGCATATTTGTTTTCCCAAAATCTTGCAAGATTTATGCAAGCATAGAGGAGATCTGCAGAAACACACTGGATAATAATCTGCCTCTCTAGAAAGACTGCTTTCTCTTAAGCACAGCTGCTGAAGTTTAGTCTCTAGTCATAGGGATACAAACATCACAAGAGGCTCTCAAATCAATCCACTGGTTCTTTTTCGTATACATGTGGAAAGAGAGAAAATGTGTTCTTGGTAATTTATTAGGAATGAGAGTGAAAATAAGAGAAAGCCACCAGCATAATCAGTAGCCAAAGACCAGCCAGATGAACTTAATAAGTCCAAATATCAGCGAAACAGGAGCCAGTTAATGACATTGCTTGTATTTTGATCATAATATTTAGTGTGCTGCTTCCCCCACCCCCCGAATCTACACAATTTCTGTACAAAGGACTGCTTGAAGTCAAGATAGTGAAATTAAGATTTGTGCCACATTGGTTTGGATCTCTCTATTTTGGTATGCTTCCTGCCTCAAAATAGTAAGAAATCATTTCATTGTTATCGGACAATTCAACAACTGAATTTAGAAGAATGCTTCAGGAGCCATCAGAAAGAACAGGGAGGCTAAAGACAAATGTATACGATGGTATGTGTGTGTGTATATATGTGTGTGTAGATAGATAGATAGATAGATAGATAGATAGATAGATAGATAGACAGACAGACAGACAGACACACACACACACACACACACACACACAAACAATTTAATTTCACTATCTTAACTTCAAAGCAGTCCTTTGTACAGAAATTGTATAGAAATTCAGGGGAAAAAAGCAGCACACTAAATATGTATATTTATATTATATTATCTTTTTGAATGAAACTTGATTCCTTACAACTTCTTGGCATAAGTTTTCTTATGAAGTTTTCTTGCCAACAGAAAAAAAAATGATTTACCAATTTCTTTTTCTAATGTGTGCACATGTGTATATTTGTTTCCAGTTTATCCTATCCTATTCAAATCTGGTCTTGCTTTGCTTTTTGAAGTCAGCCAAGATCACTTAGATGCTATCATCCAGAATTATATTTAAAATAAAAGATTTGCATACGTTGATGTTTTCATAGGAAAAGATGAAAATCAAAAATATGTAGTGTAAACAATAGATACTCATATAAAGAGCATGCTTTGAAAACACTACAGTTTAAAAATTTATTCACTGTGGAATCATATATCCTTTGCACAGTGGTGGGATTCAGCCAGTTCGCACCACTTCGGTAGAACTGGTAACTAATTTTTTGTTGGCCAGGCCCAGAATGGACTTCCGGAAACGGCATCCACACAGAGAACTGGTTGTTCACATATTTGAATCCCACCACTGCCTTTGCATATTGATTCACATTCCTTGGGTAATGTGCAAAATATAAGTGCCTCTTCCTTGCAGAGTAGCTAGCATTGTAAAATATTTATGTTTCTTCCTGTAAATACAATTCTTGCAGTCCATAATTGTAAAAGAAACATATAGCAGAAAGTTGTGGACTACCTAGTCCACAGGTCGGCAACCTGCGGCTCCGGAGCCGCATGCGGCTCTTTGAGCCTTCCCCTGTGGCTCCCAGCCTCCTCTGCCTTTGCAGAGAGAGACAGATACAGGCAATTGCACTTCTCTGCTTCTCTCTCTCTCTCTCTCTCTCTGTGTGTGTGTCTCCCTGTGTGTGTGTGTTTGTGTGTGTTGTGTGTGTGTGTGTGTGTGTGTGTGTAAAAGAGAGTGTACTCACAGTATTCTCCGAGGAGCTGAAAAGCTTTCTGGGCGGAGCTCCTCCCTTTGCTGCGTCTCTGAAGGAAGCAGGAAGCAGGAAGGGCAGGAGAGAGCTAGCTAGCCCAGCTAGGCTGACTCAGGAATTCTGGGAGTTGAAGTCCATGAGTCATAAAAGAGTCGAGGTTGCCTACCCCGGAGGTTGTTGGACAACATCTTGAAGCTTGCCAGGTGAGCAGCAGATAGGAGGGGGGGAGAAAGAGAGAGAGAGGGAGGGAGGGAGGGAGAGAGAGAGAGAGAGAGAGAGGAAAGAGAGAGAGAGAAAGAAAGAGAGTGGGGGAAGAGGAGTGGCAGACCAAGGGCAGATAGAGAGGGAGGGAGAGAGAGACCCTTTTGACATCTAAAATGAAGATAACACTGCATATATCCTTTTTTACCTTTGTGTGTATGTAATTTTATTCTCTTAAAGCATTCTCTTGGTGATCATTGTTTTAATAGTATGGATATTCCCAAGAGTCATATTTTTACTTTTATTTTTAATGTGTACATATACATATACATATACATATATATATATATATACACACACACACACACACAAACACACACACACCTATAATAAAGGTAAAAAAGGATATATGCAGTGTTATCTTCATTTTAGATATCAAAAGGGTTTTGCGGCTCCCGGTGTTTTGTTTTTGATGGGAAACGGGTCCAAGTGGCTCTTTGAGTGTTTTGGGTTGCCTACCCCTGACCTAGTCTCTAGCGGAAATGAAATTCCTTATATTACATCTACTATTTCTTATGGAATAACCAGTAAAACATGTTACCTTGGTATATCTTTTGTAAAAAGATATTAATATTAGGCACCTTATATTACTATTCAATTTAGATTAAAAATATTGATTACCCCAGAATATATAAGGTTTAAAAATGCTTAAGCTTATAAATAGCATATCCCCTTAGTCCAATCATGACTTAGTCCAATGCAATCAGTCTTGCAGGTTTTAAAATGCTTAAGTTTTTAAATAGCATGTGCCCTTAGTCCAATCATGACTTAATCCAATGCAGTCAGCCTTATAGGTCTATTCTGTAGATACAAAAGAGATCCCATGTTACTTACACTGTATGGAAGCAGGAGGCAAATGTAAAATAGAGTTTCAGACACCAGGCAGTTGAAGTTAGAAGTAAAGGATTGCACTCTTCCTTCACTCTTTCTGAACATGTAGATTCAAACCTTGCAAAGGGGAAAATGAGCTCTGCATTCTTACTAATTCTTCCTCATTCCTCCTGGCCCTCTAGCAGGATAAAACTGTGTCCTTAGTTGGACCATCCAGTCCACAAACTGTCTAATAATGCAAGACTTCCTGTGTGTTTGTCGCCACTTTTACTAATTTGCACATCAGTGTTTTTTTTTCAGTTGTATGGAGCATTCAGTGGGTTTTTAAAAATTATTCCATTTATGTTCTTTGGCTTTAGGTGCTTTTAGGTCAGTTTATGCTCCTTATTTGTTTTGTTTCTTCATGTTAATTTACAGAAAATTATGCAATTAGTATTCATCAAAGCGTTATCCATTTCAGCCATAGATTCTGAACCCCTAGCTCTGTTCTCATGTCCACTGCAAATATTCCTTTTGTGCTTCATGTTTTAATGGTATAATTTAGATTTACAGATGCTAGTCCTGATTTGGATGAAGACTGGTAAATCTTTTCCAGAATTGCTTGTATGAATTTTGCCTTAATAAGACTTTTATCTGAATATGGGTTAGGGGTAGAAATCTTACATCTTTTTCTCCATTTTTCTACAGATCTCTGAGGATGGCAGCAGAAGCCAATCACGTCCAACCGACGCTTGAATTGGCAGAGGAGACTCATGGCAAAGGGGATGATCATTCCAGTATATCTCTAGAATATATAGGAAAAAGTACAGATATTAAGGCTTACATGCTAAAGAAATTGAAGAAAAATTGCAGCTGTAGCCCCGCTAAAGCCAAAGATCTTCTTTTCAGTTTTCTCCCAGTACTGACGTGGCTCCCCAAGTACAAACTGAAAGAGTATTTCTTGGGTGACCTTATGTCTGGCATAATTGTAGGAATTTTGCTAGTTCCACAGTCCATTGCTTATTCCCTCTTGGCTGGCCAAGAACCTATCTATGGCCTGTATACATCATTTTTTGCAAGCATCATTTATTTTCTGTTTGGAACTTCCCATCATATCTCGGTGGGCATTTTTGGTGTACTCTGCTTGATGGTGGGAGAAGTGGTAGACCGTGAATTGCAGATGGCTGGGTATGATTCAATATCGGTTGCTTCTAGCAATTATCATTCTGATATGAATGACCTCATAAATGACACATTGGTGTCTTGGACTGCCAATCAGACTTCACAGAAAGTATGTGATAGGAGTTGCTATGCAATTACTGTTGGAGCAACTGTGACTTTCGTAGCTGGGATTTATCAGGTAAGAAATTGCAGTTAAAGGGGATCCATTTCATCTGCGATCAGTTCTTTATCTTTTGGGGACTTAGTTTGCAAGTATGCAAAATTGGAGGTAAGTAGATATAAGAACTGTAGCTTAGATTTCTCCCTCTTGTATCCTATAGACAGATGGGTAAAAAATGTGGTAACAGTGAATAGATTGCAATTCTAAGCACTGTAATCTCCAAACAGCAGGAAGGGACCCATTATGGAAGGCAATTAAAGCAAACATGTCAAACTCGTGACGTCATATGACGTGCAACATATTGGGCCAGTTTTGCCATTGCCGGCAATAGGGTAAGTGTGGTTTCCAGATGACGCATCCGGCCCGTGGGCCAGCAGTTTGACACCCCTGAATTAAAGGAATGAGTATCTGTGAGTCTAAGAGGTTGGGCCTGGTTAGACTTGAATTTTCAAATTTATTTGGGAAAAATACTTATTTCATATTCCCAAATTTAATTTAAAAATATTTTAGATACATGTTATATTGCTTGTTTTTCCCAGGAGTAGGATCATTGATCATTGATCTGAACAGAGGTACTTGGATGCAAAACAGATAAAGGTAGTATGTTTCATCCTTAATACCTTTTCATGAACTGAGGCCTTGTGGCTACCATACAATCCCAGGTAAAGATACAGTTCCTTTAAGGAGCCACCAGTAGATAACGACAAAAGTCCACATGCTAGATCTTATGAACCTTTTTTGTTGTTTGTTTGTTTCATTGCATGCTTCCAATACTAATGTTTTTTTTTCCAGATTAATAGGATGGACAAAAGATATTTATGAAGTGACTATAGGCTTCTGGGTTTTCTTCCCAATAGTTTTATTAAGGATTATATTAAACATAAAACAAATAGAGAAACCGGATACAAAGAGGTAGATATAGTTATAGCTGAAATATCTAGATCAGCGGTTCTCAACCTATGGGTCGTGACCCCATTTGGGGTCGATAGACCATTTTACGGGGGTCGCCAAACAAGGCGATCCGCCATTTCCCCCTCTCGGGGCGGCACTGCGCATGCACGCCACGCATGGGGGCGGTGCCGCACATGCGTGCCGCGCCGCGCATGCGTGGCACGTTTGTGTGACGGGGGTCGCCGTCACACAAACGTTGAGAAACACTGATCTAGATATTGACAGAGATACAGATGTAACTACGTAGATAGAGATATAGTATGGAAAAAATGGGATAAGTCCCTCATAGAAATGATAGCAAAAAAAGAAACTTTCCTCTTCATCCTCAAGAAGCATATTCAACATCAGACAAAATTTATATCAAAGCAAATATATGCATATCACAGTTATGCACAATATAAGGTTAAGTGGCTTTTAAAAAACTATTGGCAATCTTAAGAATTATATTTAAAAAAAACTAAGAAATTTCTCATAATAATAATGAAACATGTTGAAGAACCTGAAACAAACACAAAGCTAATTGTAATTCTTAATAGCATAATATATTAAGACCTGTCTAATAACATGGACTTCACCTTTCAGCCTCGTTTCCTTTGTAAATACCGAAGTATCATCTAATCTTTGGCCTTTGTCTTCAGGTTGCTATGGGCCTCTTCCAGGTGGGCTTTATCTCCGTGTTCCTCTCTGATTCCTTGCTCAGCGGATTTGTTACTGGTGCATCCTTAACCATCCTTACCTCCCAAGCCAAATACCTCTTGGGTCTAAACCTTCCACGGAGCAGTGGCATTGGCTCTCTCTTAAATACATGGATAAACATATTCAGAAACATCCATAGGACCAACACATGTGACCTCATCACCAGCTGCTTGTGCCTTCTTGTTCTTATTCCAGCAAAAGAATTAAATGAGCGGTTCAAATCAAAACTTAAGGCTCCCTTGCCCACTGAGCTTTTAGTGATCATAGTAGCCACATTGGCATCTCATTTTGGGAAGCTGAAAGAGAAATATGATTCCAGTGTGGCTGGGCATATACCAACTGGATTTCTACCACCACAATCACCAGATTGGAGTCTAATTCCTAGCGTGGCTATGGATGCAGTGCCCATAGCCATTATTGGCTTTGCCATTACTGTATCTCTTTCAGAGATGTTTGCCAAGAAACACGGCTATACCGTTAAACCCAACCAGGAAATGTACGCCATTGGTTTCTGCAACATCATCCCGGCTTTCTTTCATTGTTTCACAACCAGCGCGGCCCTTGCCAAGACTCTAGTTAAAGATGCAACTGGCTGCAAGACTCAGATCTCTGGTGTGGTGACTGGCTTGGTCATTTTGTTAGTTCTCCTTGTGATTGCTCCCCTCTTCTATTCACTCCAGAAGTGTGTGCTAGCGGTCATAATCATTATCAACCTCAAAGCAGCCTTGCGAAAATTTATTGACCTGCCAAAAATGTGGCAGTTAAGCAAAATTGACACACTGATCTGGTTTGTCACTATGTTATCGTCAGCACTGATAAGCACTGAACTTGGCCTTCTTATTGGGGTCTGTTTTTCAATGATTTGTGTTATTCTACGGACACAAAATCCAGAAGGACAGCTACTTGGTCTGGTACCAGACTCTGAAATCTATGAACCTCTCCCTGCCTACAGTGGCCTTCAAGTTGAGGCAGGCATCAGAATTTTTCGCTTTGAAGCACCAATATACTATGCAAACAAAGAGAACTTTAAGTCCATGCTGTACAAGAAGGCTGGAGTCAATCCCTCATTGGAACTGGCAGCAAAGAGAAAACTAGAAAAGCAAAAACACACTGAAAAATCAGATGGTGCCAATAGGAAACAGGCAGAAACTTTGGTGCAGCTTGTCTCTCAGCAGTTCACATTCCATACACTAGTAATAGACTGTTGTGCAGTGCAGTTCTTGGATACAGCAGGGATTCATACACTCAAGGAGGTTCAAAGGGATTTTGGGGAAATTGGCATCCAAGTGCTGCTGGCTCAGTGTAATCTCTCTGTGAGGGACTCCTTGCAGCGAGGGGAGTATATTAAAAAAGGAGAGAAGCATTTTCTCTTCCACAGTGTGCACCAAGCTGTGGAATATGCATTATGTACTTATAAGCATAACGGCAACCGTTCCTCTGAAATCTAATGTAAGTAAAAGCTTCCTGTTTAATGAGACTAATGATGCTGGGCATTATATATACTGTGTATCTCACAAAATTATAAAGGGCTTTTTTTTTCACCTGTTGATAATACAAGATTATAAACAAATTCATTTTGTACCTTTCATTATGCACTGCTGAATGGTGCACTGAAAAAGTAGTGATGAATCCTATGCCTGAAGTGGTGTGGATAACTACACTCGTAAGTTGTGCTTGGCCAGAAGAACAAACACTCAAAAGTTTAATGGGCATCACAAAGTGGACCCATCTGGTTTGGATGCCTTTAGAGCCAAAAGTGTTCTTCCCACACTGCTGGGCAGGTAGTGTCACCACTGTTCAGGGTATTCCTTTTGTGAAAGGAAAAAATCCTGCTTCTTTATGTTTGTACCCTCCCCTTCTTGCAACTCCATTGGTACCTCTCAAAAATGGTTCTGAATTATGTATGTATGAATTATGGTATACTATTTGGGGAGGAAAGATCTCAGAAAAATGGAAATCCATCTGATTTGGGCATTTGTCCCACTTTAGAAACCTCGCCCCACATTACTGAATGTAGAATAAACTGTACGTCAAATTAGGTGGCCATGGGAATAGAATAAGAAAGGGAAGCTGTTCCTGTCAAAATTTCCATTTGCTTTAGAGTGAAGACCATGTTTTATTCAACTGCCAATTTCAGTTAAGTTTTTTTCATAATTCAAGACAGCAATTTATGTTGTGATTTTTCTTATGTTAAGAAATGACTGCAAATATCTGCATACCTGAATTCTGCAATGAACCTGAGTTTTGAAAAATATTTCATTAGCTGTGTTTAAACCAATTGTATGCCTCATTTGGGTTCTAAAGGCCATATCATTGAGCATTACATATTTTAGAATGTTAGGTGAAACACACTGTATGAAGCACCTATAAATAGTTCTTAAGTTATAGCCATATTGTGCAGTAGATACTTAGTCTGTTTAGACTTTATTTAGGAAATAGAAACACTAACTCTTCTTTTAGCAAAACTAACGGATGATGGCCAAGGTAGCTAGAACATGTTAGCTCTTTGTCTGTCTGTCTGTCCGCCCATCAAAACAATTAGTTACTACTATTAAATAAGGGATCTAGTGAATAATCATTTTTACTGGTAGACTATAGACTTTCATTATACTTTTCTTTTTGTGTGTCCCCCCAAAACTTTGCAGAAATAAGACATGTACATTGTTTTGAAATTCTCAGGATAGATATATGAAATATTAACTGAAAATGAAATGAAACATTATTGACACATCTTAAAGATTCCTTTCCATTATTTGTTACAGTGATAGGTCTGTCATAAAGGGTATTGAGGGTATTTGAGAATGAAAATAAATTTCATTTTCATTAGCTATAAAGAAACGTTGTGATTTCTGCATTGCTGTTCTTGGCACAAAAGAAAAGGACTGTAACCATTATTAAAGAAGAATTCTTTTATAGTCTCTTCTGGAAAAATGGAGATCTGTCATAGATAACGGCAAAGGTAAAATGTTTATTAGGTTACAGAGTTTATTGCCAAAGTATGATATAATATTCTAATTCTAATATTTGCTGCATATTAGAATTGAATGTAGGAGTTAAGATCCACAAAATATATAGAAATTTGAAATTAAGAAATCTAAATGAAAAATTTTAAACTTATTTCATTGACCTAGAAACTTCCCCTTTTTCTGAGTTATTTGAAAAAAAATATTAGCTGACTTGAACAGAAGACATGGGTATTCATAAGATTAATAGCAGTCAGAATTTCTTCTACACAAACATTTCCAAAAAGGGTCAGAAGGATCTTCATCAATAAAACATGAAGGCATTATTATTGTCTTCTGCGTTCATTGGCATCCTGAAGGTTTTATGAAACCATAGCAATTAATAGCTCTTGATGCAGGATTCCTTTCCTGTGTGACTTTGGGTAACCCAGAGATAAATGGCCAAGTGCCTGGCAGTGCCACAGCATCTGGGCTGGGCTCTGTTCCCCACTTGGATTTTTTAAAAAAATCTCAAATAAGTAAATGGGTTGTCTCTAGAGTAAGGGAAGGTAAAATACTATAATTTGTTTGTAAATAAATGCTTTGTAACTGGCTGTGGCCATATTAACAGCAATTTTGTGAGAGCACCCATGACTTTATCTCAAAATTCCAAACATGCCCAACAGCCGAAAAGGGTTATTTAATCAAATGTCTAAAAGCCACCTAAACTATGGAAACTATAGTGTCTTGCTAAGAGAAGTTCTGTTTGCAAATATGTTTTCATTTGTTTATTGCCAGCAGTTGCAACTGTTAATATTAAATCCTAATGTTGTGAATTAAGGGAGACAAAGATATGCCTCTTGCTTTTACATGCAGCTTGTAATTTATGGCTGAATCTCTAGGTGGCACAATTTACTAGAGAAGTATCTGCTTGACTTTTTTTAAAAGACTAAGAATTGGCCATGTCTAACTTCAAAAGATATAGTAAATTGCAGTGGGGTTGAATGCATTTATTTGTTTACATTTTCTGGGACGTAATAGCATCTTTTCACTGCCATTCCTGCATAATAGATTATAATTTTAGGAAGAGGCTTCTTGGCTTTTAAAAAAATACCGTAAAATTACTTTCATTGTTTAAAAATATTTGATTTTGTGAAGTATTAAAAAACATCATAGCGAAGTCTTATTAAGGCAACAATGTACATTCTCATCTCATAACTACTAAAATACAATGCACAACTGGAAATCACACTGCAGTAAACATATTGAAATTGGTAGATCGGAGGCCTTTTCAAATAAAAGGCCCACAAATCTTCCAATTTTGGTATGATATCTAGTTTACTGGACTGGTTTGAAAATTATGTGGTTTTCATTGTGACCATTCCCTCCTCTATTGCTGTTTCAACTGTTTTTGTGTAGTTTTCATTTAGCTTGTTAAGGAACTGCAGATATATTATGTCAGAATTACAGGTCTTCCTCCGTTTGAATCTGTATTATAAAAGAATCATAGTTAAGTAGTTTCTACTGCTTTCAGTTATATTACATTCTGATGGAGGATTTTTGTTTCACTTGAGGTGATTACCTTTTTCCTTAGAAATATTTTGTCCTTGAATGAATGCATTCTTGGGAGACAGCAGGCTGTGTTTCTGTAGATATTTTCAAAGAAAATAGGTATATTTGTCAACCAGTCATTTCTGAAAGAATCATAGTGTAAATCCATTCAATGTTGCATCCAGAGAAGGGAAATTGCTACTACTGTAGGAGTCTACCAGTACCAGTGATTTTCCAAAAATAAGTATGGAAAATAGTCTTAAGGAGTAAAGCTATTTTCCATGAAGTCTAGATTTAAGAACAGAAAAATTCAACAGACAATTAATAGGTTCACACATTTCACAAAGGCATGTTACAGTATTTTCTGCCTTAATATTTAATATTAACAGCTACTTTGTAAACTAGGATTAAGCAAAAAGCATGGCTTAGTGTAAATGCCAACCTGGCCTAAATAAAATTAATCTGATTGGAGAAATGTTATTTTTTAATGAGAAATACTTTTTTCTCCTGCTTGAATCTTTTAAGATAAAATGCAAGTTAATTTTACAGAGAATTTTTCTATTTGCTAATCCATCAGACTTCAGTTATTTCTATCCTAGAGATGCTGCTGATAGCTGTTTCTGTTGCTTCTAGAATATCTAATACACTATAAATGTTGGCATTCAGTAATGGAATATATTTTAAAATGATACTTTTTATTAGTGTCATACTACTAATTTTAATTTGGATTTTACAAGATTCTAACCATAAACCTTGTAAGTATTCCTACTTGAATATTTTCCATTAATTGCTTTGCCACTGTCTTACTTAGCCCTAAGTAATTTTAATATTTGCTTTTTCACAAAACATAAAGATGTGGCCTAGACCAAAAGAGACATGAAATGACTTGCAATGAATATAGCCATTATTTTTTTATCTATCTGCTTTGCTAATTTATTTTTTCAGTGACTGTTGCGTTTGCAAAAGTATTTTCAAAAACTGCTACAATTTTTCCCCACAAGGCATGCTCCATATCTTTATTATCATGCACAGCAAGATGCCTTTTGCAGAAAAATTTCACTTATTATCCTAATAGTACCATATTCATGTGTGCCTTTCTTTTATCATCTGCCATCACAGATTTATTTAATAGCCTCCTTGCCCTGAGGGGAGAAGAGCAAGGTTAACTCTGGGGAATGATGAATTCAATGGATACAGTTGAAATGGTTCAAATGCCACAATAGAGCTACTTGTTTCCAAACCACCTTTTCGCTGGACAGAGTCCATCAGATAATTGGTAAAAGATAACGGCATGAGAGAGAGAGAGAGAGAGAGAGAGAGAGAGAGAGAGAGAGAGTTGATTCTCTGACTACATTGGGAATCTCATTGCTACAAATGAAGTTGCTTGATTTTTTTAAGCAATTCTATGTATTCCAGATATTGCCATTATACATTATTCTAGGTGATAATCATTATTATTTGAACAGCTGTGTGCTGTATTAGAAACATCAATCCAACACTGGAAGCAGTTCACAGAAACTAAATGTTTAATTGCAGTTCTTTGGATTGCTGTTTCTATTAGCCATTGTACATTGGTATGTTCTTTTTAAATGAGATAGTTCATTAGAAGTTCTGTTGTAATGCAGTTGTGCAGAATTAAAAATAGGGAATTTTTTTTTTTTTTACTTTATACCATTGATTTTTTTTAAGGGGTAGATCTCCAGATATCTACAATCCATGTCTTCTTTTTTGCCAGATGTTTTTGTTACAGATTAGGATAGTAACATTTTCACGGACTGCACTTAATATTTGGGTTGGGGTAAAGGAAAGGCCACAGGGCCAGGATTATTGGGCAAATGAAAGGCTGTTTCATATAGATTAGCAGGGCTAAATTTTTCTGTCTTGGTTTTATAAGGAATATGCTGTATGTTTGCTTTTTATAACTTCTAAATCTACCTCGAAGACTTACAGTGCAATGTTTCTCAGCTATTAATTTTCAGCAATCACATTGTGTAATTGAAAAATGGCTTTGGGAGCCCTCTCCTATTTTGGGGGAATTTCAAATATCCTAGGAGGTCATCTTTAATATGGTAAGATGTGGTAATAAGGTAAAATCCTCATCAAAATTTGTAATAGTTGAGAATGCTGAGAATTACATCTAATGTTATTTACAGGTTGCTGGTTTGCAAAATGTTAAACCAATTAATATTTCAAATTAAAATTCTAAATTATTTAGGGTGAAACTAATCATTAAAGAGTCATGGAGCAGTTGTCCTTTTATGTTCTTTTCCTCTTTTGTCCAGTAAAATGCAATATATGGCAATGTATAGTATGTTCTTCTGCCTCCTTTTTTATGGATAAAAATGCATGATGTGAATAGTCTGATAATAACATAGGAGTACTTCTCTGTTTCTTGTAAAGTTGGCATTTGTCTAATTTTGGGTGCTTTGCAGTCAAAATTATATTGGCCATATGTTTTGGATTGGGTTTCTAATATGTCTTTTTTATGGATCTTGTTCTAAGGTAATCCGAATGAAAATCTAATTTTAACATAATATATGGCCAACTATTTTAAACATAAAGGGAAGAACACATACTCTTTTACAAAAGCATAAATCAAGTTTTTACCGAAGTGATGAAATGGAACACTAATCCTGGAACCTCGAACTCAGCAAAATATATAAATTAGGTAGATAAGCAAATGCATATTGAGGGACAAGGGTTTCTGAAGTTTCATCAGACTTTAATTGTAGGAATTAGATATTTAGAAACAAAAATAAATAGCAATTTGCTGGATGCTGGATTCCCTTCAGATTGCATTCGTCTTTCAGGTTTTACTAAAAGTATCATGATCCTTAGGATGCTATGAGTTACTTAGCTCTATCCAGTGTGATACAACTGAAAATAAAAGAGTTGTTTAAACATTGTTTATAGCAGAAGTCCCCAACCGCCGGTCCAGAGATTGGAACCAGTCTGCGGTGCACCAGAAATTGGCCCACACAAACAAGTGAAGCCCCATCTGCATGTGCGCGGGATTCAGGCAGCATGGCCCCTCTAGTCTGCAGAAAAACTTATCTCCATGGAACCTATCGCTGGTACCCAAAAGGTTGGGGGGGGGGGTTAGGGTTAGGGATTTCTATTTACATCTTATCTGGAGCTTCTCATAAAAAATGACTTTTTCACTGAGCTAACCACCCATACAACACAGATGCATAGACCTCCAAAAATGATTACCAAATTGTATTTTTTAATTTGACAGAAGAGGAAAATTGTTAAACACGTGTGGAACAAAACACATGTGCTTATGTAGATGAAATTAACACATAAAATGTATTATGTGCTCTGGCCTCAAATACGTTTTGGAATGGACCACAAAAGTTACATATTGCTGCTAAATAATCACTTAAAATCTTTTAAACGTTTTCATTATGTTAATTTTGTAAAAGTTTCAAAATATTTGTAAAAGGGCTAAAATATAATAAAATATTATTAAGACCATCAGATGGACTATATAAATTATACCAATCAGATCTTTTGGGCTTTTCCTAAACAAAATGTCAAGTGCATATAATAAGTGGCTTCTTTGGAGATTGCTTTGCTCAGGAAAAAGTCATCCCTGTTCCATATCCCTGCAGAACAACATTAGGAATTGAGATTAAATAATGAACACACTGATATTTTAATTTCATTCCTATAAGAGATTAATTACATGTCTAGCATCTATGCTATAATTTTTTTCTGCTTATTTCATTTACAAGGGTTTTTACAACTTGGAATCTAAATAAAGCTTCAGGGATTTCACTTAAGAGCCCTGAAAATTAGTATCTCATTACTCAAGCACTTTCATTAGCTTTGCCATTTATATGTCATAGGACAGCTTGAATGAAGAACATAGAACATGTCTAGGAAAGAGTGGTTAATTTTCCAGGCTATTTTGAAATTGTGCCTTTAAAAAACCAGAAAAATAGTTGTGCACTATTTAAATGCTCTCAAATTAATATTGATTTAATGAAGGAAAAGGGCTGCTCTTTGTACAACATCAGAACTACAGGATTTTTCTGTGAATGGAAAATTTCTAATTGTCTTTATATGCAAAAATAATGTTGTTATGGAGAAATATTATTGTACATTGTAGATGCTTATCGTTGGGCAATCTTGTTAATTATTGCTTGAAAATGAAATAAAACAAAATTGGATTAGTGGGGTATTGACCAATATGCAAATCAGCAAATATGGCCACAGTTCAATTATTTGTTTTTTGTGAAAATTGTGCAATATCCAAAGACATGGGTAGATGACATAAATGAAAAGTTTATGGCAAAACAAATAAAACCACGGGATTTGGGAGTAATGAACTCATATTTTCTTATTTGTACTTTCAGAGGCAAGAGTGCTTAAATTTAAGAAGAGTGCTTAAATTCTTGGCTAGTAATATGAGGAGATAGGGAATTAAATCTTTATGTCTCATGCCAATTTTTTAAAAAAGCTAATGAGTTATTACAAAGGAAGAAAATTATACTCTCACCCATAATTGGTGAGAAGGCTAAGAAAAATAACAGAAATCATAATAAGATGTAACTTCATTTGCTTTACAAAAATTATAAGAAATCCATTGCATTATGGATAAAATGTTTAATTACTTTGCCACCTACATGATTGTACAAATACAATTCTCAATTAGCTATTTTTAAAACTCTGTTAATTATGTAGAAAATATAGAAGAATTAAGGTACAGCATATGAAAAGAAGGCATAATATTTTTTGCATACAAAATTATAACTGGAAATATGCATTACATTCTTTTATTTCAACTTTTTATTGTCATATGTAAAGCAGGAGAATAGTATAGTTTTCTTCCTTGTCTAACTTTACATTACAATAAGGTTTCATTGCATCTGCTCATCTACTAAGGGAAAGTGCACTTTGCAGTATCTGAATATAATTTCCTAAATGAAGAGCAAGTTACAGTAAAAGGTATTTGTAAATAAGTAGAAATGCAAATAGGAAGAGGTTTTGTCTTCTGCCTTCTGTGCAATGGTAAATGTCTAAACTGCCCACATATTTTTTTTTAATTGACAAAATTGTTGGACAACTCTAGAAATAAAGATGATTAAGGATGCCCATGAATTGTAGTGGTTAAAATGTTAACAAGTCTCAAGGACTGCTGCTTTGAATTTCTCACTCAACCAATGAGCTTTCTGTTGAATTGGCGGTGATTGCCTGAGTCACCCAGTTGGCTTGGTGCCTAAGGTGGGACTAGAACTAGAACTCACAGTCTCCTGGTTTCTAGGTACATCAAACAGGCTCTCACAATTAAGATTAGCAGCGTTTAAAACTCCAGCTGCAACTGAGCATGCACTAGCCTCTATTTTGTACATGTTGGCCTCGCTTTAATTGAATTTTGAGTCACGTTAAATCTGACTTTGTATCAACTTAAAATTTGCACTAAATTTGCATTATTCAAACACTAATCACAATCTAACCTGTATAATATTGGGTTTTAATACGTTATTTAGATACTATCAATTCAAAACACTGGCATTTTTAAAGCAAAGATTTTGTTAAATTTTGTCCAATTGCATATTATGTCTTTTTTGTATAGCAAAGATACAAAGTGTAAAAGTTAACTACCAAAGAAATGACAAGCAACCGTTGCTTTGTACGCTGCTATTTGCCATTTGAAAATGAAACTTAGTATCTTTTGCGAGTTTCAAATGTCTCAGAAAATGTTGAATCTGTTTTCATAAGATTGTTTTATAAAAATATTTACCAATAAAAATATTTTATATTACTGTTGTTGTCGTTCGCTTTTCTTTTGGCAGTTCCATTGAGCAACTTTTCAGAATGCAAAAAAATGCAGCGTGTCTCTAATCATAGGATGCAGCTGGAGGATATGTTTGTACAATTATTGTATGAGTCACAGTGTTAGTACACAGTTTAAAACAATAAGAAAAGGGGAGCTACCACTTTTATACCAGTTCTTTCTCCCAGCAAGTAGTAGTGGTAATTATGGGTGAACCACAGTCTGCCCACATAACATCTTTCTTCTGTGAGCTGCACTGGTCTCAGACGGCTTCCAGGTGCAATTCATATGCCAGTTTTCATCTATAAAGCCCTTTGTGGCATGGGGATAGGTTACTTGAAGCATCAGCCCCCAACCTTTTGGGCAGTGGGGACCGTTTCCATGGAGAAACATTTTTCTGTGGACTGGTGGTATGTTTTGTGTGCTGCCTACATCCCATGGATGGGGCTGAGCTTGTTTGTGCAGATCGGTTGCTGGCATGCCATGGACCAGTGCTGGTCCACAGACTGGGGGTTGGGGACCCCTGACTTGGGGGCTATTTTCTCTCCAGTTGAATCTGCCTCTCCCAGTAAATCCAACAGGGTAGCATGCTATGAGTCCCTTCTATAAAGCAATGTCATCTGGCAGACTGCCTTCTCAGTGGCAGTGTCTGCCTTCTGGAACAGCTTGCTCTAAAATTTAGATGACCTCGACACTGCTAACCCAGAACAGCCCAAAGCACATATTCCGCTAGAGAGAAGTTCCTTGAGGATGGGCTCCAGCATGAGTCTAAAAGCTTGGAAAACTAAATTTCTGGCCCTGGTGACTGATCCAGAGTGGATCCTGAACATTAATTTTCTCCCTCACCCCCATCTAGGCCATCCTGAATAGTGTACTCGGTGGTGCAGAGGCTGGACATAAAGTAGATTCCCAGGTCTTGACTTCAGCCCTAGTGCCATCACTGCCACTCAAAAAGCCTGTCTTGCAACATTCCCCAAATCATGCAAGCCAGCACAATTGCCCTTGTGGCACAGTGGTCTCCAGGATCTGCAGCATACCACTTACCTTCAGGCAATATTCTTTTCCTGTTGAAAGGCTCAAGTAGCCCACTTTAGGCAGCTCCAGGTTACACAAGTCTTTGTTCTTGAAGCTGTTTTGGAGAATGTGGCTTTTGTAGCCTCTGGAAACTGAATGAAAGCACAGCACAATTTTGCACAATTTTTGCAGGTTCTTGAAGCCAAGTGAGAGCACACCCCATTCTTGGGAAGCCTCTGCAGCCTCCAAACGTTGCATGAAAATGGGACATGCTTTTGAGTGGAATTGTTATTGAGTGTTGGTGAATGCTGGCATGTCATTCAACGTCATGGTGTGTCACCTTTGACATGTGTCCTCATCACTGTGGTACTACAAGAGATAGCTGTTCTTTTAGCTTTTTAGATGATGTCCTGCTGTTACCTGGATGCTAATGACAAAAAACATGTTCTCTTCCAGTTAAAATCAGTGTAATTGTATTGCAACTAAGTTCCGAAGCTATCTTTTAACAGAGGATTCGAGCCATTAAAAACAGGTTCATTACAATTACCTGTACTGAGATTCTATTCAAAGGGCCAGATGAGATCTATTCCTTGTATAAGATCTGATGTTAAAAATGAGTCTTTCTAAGGGAAAGGTATCTGGGTGGGGTGGAGTATTTAGAATAGCATAAGGTGGCACTCTGAGTCCATACACTAAGTTTTAATTGCACTAAATATACAATGTTGGTCTTTTCTCTGTCATGTTTTGGATTCAGAATTTAATGGAACAATGATCTAAGCCAGGGGTAGGCAACCTTGGCTCTTTTATGACTCGTGGACTTCAACTCCCAGAATTCCTACTTTTGCTACTTTTGAACTTTGGTGTTGGACAAGACTCTTGAGAATACCATCAATAGCCAAGAAAACAAATCTATGAACAAATTAACCCAGATTCTCACTCAAGGTACAAATGATCAGATTCAAATTATCATACTTAGATAAGACCTAGCTCTCTGAAGAAGACTATAATACAGTCTGTAATGAGAAAGGTGGAAGAATAGATAAGAGGTCAAGCAGTAGTGAGGTAGAAAGACTCAATTACAGCAGATACCTAGATGCCTCATTGGAAGACCCAACAAATCTTCCTAGAGAAATCTATTGATGTGATCGCTAAGAGTTTAGATTTAGAAGATGGAACATGATCTTGTAGTTTTCAGAATACACTACAATCCACGAAGAACTTGCCAATGTTTAACAGTAGTTTCTAAATGAAAGAAAAATTAATGCTGGATGTTTGCATCCATATGAGCCCTTCTGTCTCTAGTTATCTAAGGCAGTTATGTGTGTGGATTCACATCGTCACACAACAGAGATACTGAAAACATTTGCAGATAATGCCATTAGCTTGTTCTAAACATAATTTTGAATGCCTGACTGAATAATACACTTCGTCAAGTAAACAATGCCTCAATTTCATATGGCTTGAGCCGGGACTGCTTCTTTGCTGCCTAAACAGGCTCAGAACAAAAACCAATCTAAGCCAGCAAGTTTCTGCTGGTATTACTGAGCTATTTTAGAAGTTATTCCCCAAAACAAGCACTTCTTAATATAACTGATCTAGTGATCTAGTGACCTTTGCTTAGCATCAGTTAATGTGAGGTTAATTGGACTTAGAAGCTGTGTAAAGGTTAACTTTTTAAAAAATCTTGTTTCTGCACGTTTTACTGACTGATCCATAACTCTGCCCATCTGTTGGCTGATAACATCATGTTCCAGAAACTATTAAGATAAGCTGTATCTAAGAAACATCTTGTACTCATGAATGGAGGAATGAATGAATGAATGAATGAATGAATGCACACACGCGCACAGACACACACAGACACACACACACACACATTTTAAGACCTATACTAGGAATCAGCAGTTGGTTCAATCCAAGATCATCATGGGCAGGATGACAATATCTCTGCAATCAGAGAGTAAGATTTGGTTGTGTGTATTAGTTCTCTCTTTCTTTTTCTCTTTCTCTCTCTTTGTATATGTTAAATAGGAACCCCCTAACAAATTTTCTGTCCAAATAGGCAACATATTTCAATTTAACTGAACATTGCTAGACTAAAAACAGAACAAGAAACATAAACAGTTTCTTACCGGTAGAATCTTAGAAAACATTAGTGAAGAGGAATGGAATAACTTGTAAAGCTTTTAGCAACATTCTGTTCCTGCTTGAAAATAACCGTGTATACATTTTTTAAAAAGTAAGTCAAAATATTATAGAAATGAATGCCTTACTTCACTTGATGAGCTTGGGTAAAGAAGCATCAAATTAAAGAATGGTGGCATTTAAGACAGAAATTGACATTGGAAGCAATCTGCAGGATTGCTAGAAACAAAAGACATAAAAGATACTATGCCCAGTTGGATTTTAAAAGGATGGCCCAGAAGAAACAGGTTCCAATCCTGCAGGGAAAGAAAAAGGAACAAGAGAGACAAGGGAACAGAGGGGGGGGAAAGATGAATGCTGGATATATTGGATATAAAAACAAGAAAAATTGGATTTATAAATGAAACCAGTTTATAATTTAACAATTAAAGAGGACACATAAATATTAAACCAGAAAAGTGTTGTGGATAACTTCTTTATCTTGGATTTACAAAAGGGACTTGTTGAAGTTGTCAATGATGTCATGAGAAAAAACAGTGAATATTAATGAAGGTAACTTTATTATACTGGAATTATAAAAGGGATCTGTTACAGATGCCAATGATTCTGGGAGAAGAGACAAGAAGAGTATGAGAAGTAAGGTGTGGGAACATTATTTGAAGGACTAGCAATTCGTGCAAGAAAATGGGAAGAATATAAAATTGGGGATGGGTGGGTTTGACCAAGGTTAAAATTAATGAGTTGCTATTTTGAATGGATTTTTGTTTATTCGGACTAGATGATGATGTTTTTAAAGAGTTTGTTTCTTAAATTGTATAGCCACCTATTTAATCAAATGCAACTCTGGGTGGCACACAACAATTGGATAAAAACCACAGATGCAAAAACAACAGCTATAAAAATATAAAAATCTACATTAAGAAATAAATAGTATAAAATACATATATAAACCCCTATGTGAGAAAAGGATAAAATGGTCATTTTAATAATGGAGCCATCTAATTATATATCTGGTTCTCTGGAAGCACCAAGCTTGATAACATAGCCAGATCTTGAGGGCTTTCCAGAATAAAAGGGATGGATCTAATCTATTTTTTTGGGAGGGGGGGCAAATGTTCCATAAACTGGGTGCCATGGCAGAAGACGTATGTTTCCTGTGACCCCAAGGTAGATATGTAATTGATGGTATCTGCAAATTGCTTTTTCTGCCAAATCTAGTGGGCTGAAATAACTGGGGAGAAACAGTCCCTAAGATTCTTGCACAGAACTGGATGTTGGACTCAATGGCTTAAATAGCCCCTTATACCAATATGATTCCTTGACATTTGACAGAAAGAACCTCAAGATTTGGGAAGCGCCCTTAGTATTAAAGACAGCATTTGTGGCAAACAGCATTTTAACAGATTCACTTCATTCACAAAGTAGCCTCAAATTAAATAAGCTCAATACGGCTCAGGAAGGCCTCAGGATTTTATGGCCATCATGAAATTGTTCCTGAGTAACCTCCCCCTGTACTTAGATCCGGGGTGCCCTACTGTGTACAGAGAAATGTAGAAATGTAGCAACTGAGCGAGAAAATGAACAGTGAACATTAGTATCAAACAAATCCTAATTCAGGAAAGGGATAAGAGCAGCAAGCCAGAATAAATATTACATCCTTCTTGCAGCTACTAAAAATCATCCAGTGACTTGTTTAAGGGCACATGGACCTTTGGGGAAAATTAAGACATGAATTTTTTTAATGTATTAACTTGATTTTATTTTTACGTCATTTATTGCTGTACAACTTGGTCAGAGTTGCATGGAGATGTTAGAAATTATGTTAAATAA